CCAAAATCTTTAAATAGCTTTTAATATCGCCTTTATAAACGATTAATAAACCTAAAAGTTATTATAAGGCTTAATAATTTAACTATTTAATAGACTTATTAGTTAGACGACTAGTAAGTAAAATACAATTATAATATTATCTATTAAAGCCGAATTATTAGCTTTTACATATATAGCTAAAGAGACTATTATAATATTTAAGCTTTTCTAATAGCTAGACCTTTAGCTAGATTATTTAAAGCCTATAATATAATATAATAATTTATAGACGATTTAGCTTATTAATAGTAATCTTTTAAGGCTTAAAACCGCTCTTTATTATATTAATATTTATAATAGCTAGATTTAATAAGCCTATTAATAAGAGACCTTTAATATTAAATTCATTTAAAGCGCTAATAATTTAACTAATAAATTAATAAAGATTTTAATAGGCTAATAATTTAACCGCTTTATTAAGTAATTAAAGCTTATTAATATTATTAGTATTATTAAAAGAGCTTAAATTAATTAATTTAGCTTACTTTAATAGCTATTAATAGCTTTAATAGCTAACTATTAACCTAATTTATAGGGGTGTATTAATATTAAAGGCCTCTTTTAATAGAAAATAATTGCTATTTATTAGGGACCTTAATAAGCCTTAAAACGCCTTAAATAACTACTTTTTAATTATACGAAAAGCCTTAAAAGAAGGCTCGCGCTACCACCTTATTAAAGCTAGACCTTTAATAGCTAAATACTATAAAACCCCTTAAATTAATAACTTTTTAGGTGACCTGTTAGACGACCTTAATATCTATAAATAAGGGCCTGTTTTCCGTACCTAAATAGCTTCAATCAAGGACAATTCCACTATTTAATCTGCTTCCATAGCTGTCAACCTGATACCATGCGTAGCAACATACAAGTTACCAACGGCTCATTTAAAAGGCCTATATACTCGGATAATTCATCAGCTACAGGGCCTTGTGTTTTGCAACCAACAGCTTGTCATCCGGCTGGCTAGAAATCAAAGCGATAGACGCGACCGACACCTTGACACAGCACTATTGGACCTGCAACCGGATCTTATCTACGGACCACCGCCAACGTCACCTTGATGCATAGCCGGTCCGCATTGTCAACCGCTGTCAACCAGTCAGTACGGGCATTCCAACGAACGACAAACAAGACGAGACGTACCAGTATTTCCTGGAGGCGAGTAGCGGAACTCCCACCTGTTCCCGGACGCAAGCCTCACGCATACATGCCCACCCGGCACGCCAGCCCGTTCTTTGAACACCAGCTCCGTCTGGACCGCGTCCGTGTCCGGATCGCAGCCGTGCGCGACATCATACACGGCGCGCGGGTCTCCGCGCTCCGTCATGAACATCTTGGTCGTGTTGTCAAAGGCAGTATACTGTCAGGGTGTTAGCCCCGAGCCTTTTGCTCGCATGGAATGTCTATCCAGACTTACTTCTCCGTTGATGACGGCCCGAATCGTCGTGCCATTGCTCAACTGCGTAATGACGCCATCGACAAGAGTCAGTTCGCTGGCGGGTGCGCCAGCCGGACTCAGATACAGGTGCTGGTCGCCGCCGCCGGCCGCCCACTGGTTCAACAAGCGGTTGTGTATCACGGGGAAGGACGCATTCTGGACCTGGATCGCGAAGCCCTCTGCGATATTATTAGGGAGCGCCCCCGGGGGAAGCACGCACGCGAGCGAGGCGGCGGCCGCCGCGACGGCGATCAGAGCACTGGAAAACAACATCTTGTCAATTGGGGAATGATGTACTCGAGAGGCAAGATCCGATGCGGCCTCGTGCTCGGGGGCAAGATATATAAGCTACAAGGCCGGCTTGAAGCGCTGTTGGTTTCCTTCTGTCCATGCAGCATTCCGCCCTTGGCCCGCGATACGAGGTGCAATGCCACCACGTAGGGGACAGGGTTTCTGCAGATAGCGGCAAGCAGTAGGGATGCATGGGCGGGGAGCGGTGATTCTGGAGCGACGCTCAGAGTGCCGGTGCTCCTGTTCTGTCGCGAAATGGCTCGCTATGGATTGACGGAACAGTAGAACGAGCCCTAGATTGAATCTTGGATTCGGGACTTGAGACGTATCGAGCTTCTAGTTGGTTGTTGATTTCGTTGGCAGTTGCTTTGGTCGGGCTTTGAACTTCCTTGTGAAGAATTAGCTCATGTAGCATTCAGCCGCACCCCGAGTTTACTCTATTGACAGGTTCATAGTCTGGCCCGTTTGCATGCGTCCAAGCGCTCATGGCGTGGTTTAAGAATGTGGGAAAGCAACAAGGACAGAAGTGCTTACAGTCACATGCATACATAAATGGCCCAGACTGCAGTATTGTTACGGCGTTTCTGTAGCCAAACTTGCCATCCAACGGCAGCATAAAAGCATTCAACATTCGTACCCAAAACTGCAACATGCTCAATAAGGTTGGAAATAAAAGTCTTCTTTGATGCAGGCCTGTCTTTAAGAACCCAAATCGTCAAGCTGGACAGCTCGTCCGGAGTGACAGCCTGCCACAACCTGGCTCCCATGCCAGCATACGTATAAGGCCACAAGAGAGGCATTGCGACGATTCATGCGTAAACGGCCAAGCCTGCATGGGCAAAGTGAACCTGCTAAGCGAAGTCAGCATCGGGCCCGCGTCATACAGGCCATGTCGGACGGCAGGGATCAGATACGTTCATAAGCATACGTAACTTTCTTCTGGCCCTTTTGTTCTCAACTGAGTTGGTCTGGTGACTCTGGTCCATGGTCCCATGCATGGTGCTGATAGTTTCCTGCATTGTCCTTGCTGGAAGCGACGTGGGAGTGAGAACAAGACGTCAGTCTGTCGGTCCGAGACGACATGACTCGTATGCATGTTGTAATACACTTAACCTCCCTTCACACATCTTCATAATACGTGTGGCCGCCGCATGATGAGGAGAGACAGACGGTAAATTGGCAGGGACGTGACACGTCTAGGAATGTAAGTGGGCCGTGGCTGTGCCGTCATGAACTATGTCATATGTGACGTCCGGCTAGAGTGAAGCCTGGCGCGGCTGCATGTGGGGACATCTGGACTTCAAACTTCCAAATCCGCCTGGTTACTAATGACTTGACTCAATGTTAGCTTACATTACACACCCTACAACAACACGCGCCATTACGCAATTCGAAATCGCTAGTATAGCTAGACCTACCAAGCTTTGCAGTAGGATTTGCTAGATCTGTTAGCCTTACCTTGCAGAATTCGCGCCAAACTCTATCTTACAATGCCCGAGTATATAAACCATCGCTGGTGCCACCACCTGCTTCATTCCAGGCTGCCAAGGTGCGCAGTCCTGCTTTACCACGTGCCGTAAAGCTAGCACTTTGAATTCATCAAAATACTTAGCAGGCATCAAAATCTTATATGCATCATACGACACTCCTTAACCGAACCAGTTTCTTGTCAAGTAATTCTCGAGGTACGTAAAATTTCATCCCTTCATCGCTTTACCACACTACAGTCTGTGGCAGAACATATTGACTGACCAAGAAGTATAGTACAATGAAATCGACTCATGGTGCTTATCGAGTTCCTCTGATGAGCCATGGAGCAAAGTGATCCGGCAATTGCAGCCCTTGACCGAATCCCCCCGATACCCAGCATAGGAATGTGTCCTTTTGGCTCTCTCTCTCTCTCTCCGTCCCTCTCTCTGTAGCCTCCCGACAACCCAGACATTTTGCTTTCCCCTTCCCTCCAGCATCCGCTCATCCCACAGCCACGCAAGTCCGTCCATTTCTGCTTTGAAATGAGTTTGTCGTATGTGGCAAAAAAAGGTGCTGCACAAACAATGTGAGTTAAAAGACTTGAGCAGGCAATTTACCAAACCAAACTGACAGCAGATACACTTAGAACCTAACCGAGTGTGACGACGGCTTGTGTTTGGTCGCTTTGTTGATGGGGTATACGTGATGGCAATGCCCGAGTCGAATCGATGAATGACGCGATGGCACGAGGTGATTGTGTCTCGAATTTCTACCTTTGATTACTACGAGCGGCCAATGATGCTATCAGCGGGAGTAGGAAACTTGCCTGTGGTATTTCCTCGGCATCACCTTGACTCAAACCGGAGCTGATCTGAGGCCGTGGATTTCCCAAGGGGACTTTGAGAGCGGCAATGCTAACTCGAGGTCGAATCGATCAGTGGCGCGATTGTGCGAAGGTTTTTTTTTTTTTCGGTTTTTTTTTTGGCCTCGAATTTCTACCTTTGATTGCTACAAGAGGCCAATGATGTTATCAGCGGGAACAAGTATCTTACCTGTGGTATTTGCTTGGCGTCACCTTGACTCGAACCGGAGCTGAGCTGAGGCCTTCCCTAAGAATAATTTTTTGGGGAGTCAGCCGTGGCTGAGTGGGTTTTGTCAGGCTCGCAAGTGCTATTTCATCACTGCTCTAAACAGCTCAGAAAGTCGTAATCTTGCTCATTGCCCAACCCACCTTTTTATATATACGAACGTGCGTCGGACATGCTTGGCGTTGTCTCTACTCGAACCGGCGTTGACTTGAGGCGACCGAGGTCCCTGAGAGGATTGTTATGCGGTTAGCAAAGGTGAAGTGGGTTGAAGAGGCTTACGTCCGACGTACCTTTAAGGAAGCAAGTGCCAGCAACAAATGCCAATGATGAATCAAGACCACAGGAGTCCACAACAGGATAACAAGCTGTTATCCCATCAAATAACTGAGGCATTCCGTCGTTGCAGCTTGCAGCTTACCTACAAGACATCGGAGCATTCAAGGTAAAAAGAACATACAAGGGATGGGTACCTCACCGGAGAAATGACTGGTCATGATGGTTGGCAGGGCTCAGGCGGTTGACACTGACGAGAGACACAAGTCGATGAAGGCAAGAGGCACAAGGCGATGAAGAAAAGAGGCACAAGGCGATGAAGAAAAGAAGTAAGGCGAAGTGGCATAGAGAGGTGATGCAAGAGATGAGGATGACCAACAAAAGTTCTCGAAATGTGCCGGCAAATGAAGATGAAAGGTAATGAAGGAAGAAAAGAAAGTTGAGAAGAAGTCTGGGGAGTAGAGGTTTGTATACTAGGACTAGCAGCTCTGCGTACCTTCCTACTTATCTTGAATGGTAGTTGCAGTAGATGAGGCCTTTGAAAAAGAGGTGTTGGAAAGAGCTATATGGATACGTCATTCACATGGTTACTAGGCACTTACTCTTCCTGCAACAGAAGTATCCGTCGCCTTCTCCCCGAATAAGCGAAACAGTCCCGGCTCGCTATCTCAGCGGCAGAAGGCGAGATTGAACTTTTCAGATAAACACGTCGGTGCTGTTGGAAAGAGCTATATGGGTACGTCATTCACCTGGTTACTAGACACTTGCTCTTTCTACAACAAAAGGATCTTTCCCCTACTCTAAGCGAAACTGCTCCGCTCGCTCTCTCAGCGGCAGAAGGCGGGCACGATTAGACTGTTCAGGTAAACGCATTCATGCCAGATTCCTAGTTATGCAGCAGTGCCATATACAGGGCGGGCAATAGACAATACAGGCTTCCTCCTGAGACTATGCTTTCCCCAACGCGGTCGAACCTCAGAGCGGCCTCTCACACACAAACTTGGCCCTCGTGGCAAGTTCACACCATACTGGCTCACTTGTACTGGCCGAACATGAGGAGGAGACATGGCACAAGCAACGTACATGATCATGATATCAATCTATCCCAAGATCTATCAAAAAAGCCAGCTGACAATCCAACACTGTCGGGAATCTCAAGCCACAATCGTAGAGTATCCTAACGCCATGAAGAAAACCCCCATATATCCCAACCCCATGCACGAACGAAATACATCAAAAAGGCCACCGTCATGATAAAGCAGCATCAAAGTCCCTCCGGACACTTAGGCCCACCAGTCACCCTGGTCGTGCATAGCCTGTGCAACCTTGACAAATCCAGCAATGTTGCTGCCGGCCACGAGAGAAGGCAGCTCGCCGTCCTTGGCCTCGACGTACTTCTTTGCCGTCTCGAGGCCGTTGGTGAAGGCGTTCTTCATGATGCTCTTGAGCTTGTCGTCGACCTCCTTGGCGGTCCAGGTGAGACGCTGTCAAAAACACGTTAGCCCTTTTCCCCCCCAGAGCGAGAGAGAGCATTTCAGCAATCCGACATACCTGAGAGTTCTGGGCCATCTCCAGTCCAGAGACGGCAACGCCGCCGCAGTTGGCAGCCTTGCCGGGCGCATACCAAATGGCCTCGCCGCCCTTCTTGCGTCGCTCAGCCTCAAACAAGTCAATTGCCTCCTGGGTGCAGCCCATGTTGGAGCCCTCGGCAACGGCGACGACTCCGCTGGCAATGAGAGACTCGGCCTCGTCCTTGCTGACCTCGTTCTGGGTCGCGCAGGGCAGTGCAACGTCCACGGCGCCCACGTGCGTCCACGGACGAGCGCCGTCAATGTACTTGTATCGGCCGGCGTGGTCAAAGTCGGACAGAGCGCGTCGCTGGACCTTGAGGCCGGCAATCTGATCAACGTGTTCCGCCGTGAAGGGCTTGTCGGCGGTGGCGACAAGCGAGCCCTTGGAGTCGGAGAGCGAGACGACAGTGGCGCCGAGTTCAATGCACTTGAGAGCGGCGTATTGGGCGACGTTGCCGGAGCCAGAGATGGCCACCTTCTTGCCGGCAAAAGTACCACGACCGGCGTACTCGAGCATGTGTTCCACATAGTAGATGAGACCGTAACCAGTGGCCTCTGGTTCAGACGGTTAGCAGACCATTGGAGAACCAGCAAGACAGGAATAGATAAGTTACTTACCGGGTCGGATAAGAGAGCCACCCCAGCTCAATCCCTTTCCAGTCAACACACCCTCCCAGCGGTTTCTGGCCTGTCGATACGCGCCGTACATGTAGCCAATCTCTCGGCCGGAAACGCCAATATCACCGGCGGGCACGTCGGTATCCGCGCCAATGTGCTTGGACAGCTCGCGCATGAAGGCCTGGCAGAAGCGACGGATTTCGCCATCAGACTTGCCCTTGGGGTCGAAGTCGGCACCGCCTTTGCCACCGCCCATGCTCACTGCGCAACCTGTTAGCAAAGCCCCGCTCGGATTTTTGGCGTTTGTAGCTGGCGGCCGTGTCACATACATCCAGTGAGGGCATTCTTGAAAATCTGCTCAAAACCAAGGAACTTGAGGCTGTACAGTGGTCAGCGTCTGCCCGCCCAAAACTCGCTCTACGAGGACTTTGACATACATGGACAGGTTGACAGTAGGGTGAAATCGCAAGCCACCCTTGTATGGACCCAGAGCCGAGTTGAACTGCACTCTGAAGCCCCGGTTCACCTGCAACTGGCCATTGTCATCCTCCCACACAACACGGAACTGAATCACACGCTCTGGGACGGCGGCAACGGCCAAGGCTGTGCGGTACTCGGGGTGCTCGCGGAAGAGGGTGCTGTCCTCGAGGGTGCTGGCGAGCTCTACTCAGACTGTCAGCAACTGATTCCATCAAGTTCTCGGCCATCTCACATCAAGTCAGTGGGTAAGTAAACACCTTTATAGGCTTGTTCAAACTCAGGCTCGGACGGCAAGTGGCTCGTGGCGGCAGCGGGAGCCTGAGTGCCGTTGCCGTTGCCGTTCAGATGGGGCATTGTGTCTACTTATTCTCAAAAAGGATGTTGTATTGAAGAGAAGTTGTTGATAAAGACGGGGACAAGGTACGAGGTCACGGATGCAAAGGTGGTCAGGAAAGGGAAAGGGAAGAAGGTTGAGTAGTGAAACCCGCCAACGGGACATAGCTGAACCTTATATGTTCACGTCCAACCCCAGACCCTTCATAGCTCCGAGTAAGAATACGCTGGTATGGCTTTACACACCCTCCTCCTTCTTCTTCTGCCCCCCGCCCTCTTTCTCGGTGAATCGGAGCAAACAGCCACACACTTTTTTTCTGTGTTCCCTGGTGTCTTGAGCGTATCGGGCCGCATGGTCAAGGCATGGTCAAGGGTCCGCCAAGCTTTCCTGGATGAATATCCTTACAGGTGACCGACAACGGTGGGCGCATCTTCAGCAGCCATCTTGTCCATCAAAACCTGTATGAGACGTTGCCTTTTTTTTTTCCTTTGGCCCAATCCCAGCGCCCTCCGAAAGTCGCTCGTTTCAACTTGCCACTCCCGAAAGCCACGCTGGCGACAGACATGAAATTTGGCAGTGAAGGGGGACGGGGCGTTTCCCGAAAGCAATAAGCTTCTCGCTGCATGGGTGGCGCGCGACTCCATAGATAGATAGCCGCGGGCGTGGCTCCGCCCGTCTTATCAGTGACGTCTCCATTATCCCCATTTCTATAGCTCCATGGGTCCATAGGCTTCGGGTGCTCGGTATGGGAGGCCTGGTGATACTACATATTTCGTAGACGAGACGTAAGAGATGTGTGTGTGTGTGGCCAAGAAAAGGAGCGCAAATCATCACAAGCCAAATGGCCTGGTGCCCAGTCCCCGATGGCGATCAAGGGCTTCATCTCGCATGCAGGGAACCTGTTCCCGAGCGACCAGGCAGCCACTCTCGACATTCAGCCGCCATGATGGACAATGTAGAGAAATGTTGACTTCACCTTCACCGGACATTCGTGGTCGCAACGCGCCGTGTTACGCACCCGGACACCACCGCTGGCAACCATCTCATCAGCTCACCATCTGTCCACCACGCGTCCAGTCGTCAAGCTGGCAGCGCCATTTCATGCCAATGCCAATTGTAAACACCCGACAAGTCACGGCCATCTGAAATCGAAACTGGCAGACCTTTATCTTCGCGCCCCACGCCCCTGCATTGGTTGATTGGGCCTCTGCTGCACACCGGATTGGTCGCCTTACTTATTCCTATTGACAGATTCGATTGCGTCTCCAGATTGGGCTGCTTGGGCTGTGGCCAATGAGCACGCGGCCGACAAACAGATTAGTCTATCAAGGCAAAGGTGTCCGTTCAGCTTTGGCTGGCTGCGCGAAGTGAGAGTCGTGTCGGGTATGGTCTGTCTCCAGACGCCATGAGGCATCCTTGACGAAGCGAAATCCGGATGGAAGTGTCGACTGGGTCGCTGCGGTCCCCCCCACCTCGAGATTATTATTTCCTGAGGCAGCTTCGCCGACAACGGCCTTGGCCTCGGCCTCTCTCACTCTGACATGGGATCATGGCATCAGCTCGACTCGCTGACAGGACAACACACAACATGCCAGAGGCAGTTCCAGATTGCAATAATGCTGCACCGTACTCTTAATACTGACAGCAATGCACCTAGGCCTGCATCTCTAGGAGGTGCGCCTGGTTGTTTGCGTGGTTCATCTCCAGATCTGATCATGCACGTCGCCAAATGTGCCCCCACCCAGGGTCCAAGCCAAGCCCAATCCCAGGCCTCGGCACGCCATCCCATCATCCTGACCGCACCCAAAAAAAAAGGGAAAAAAAAAAACCGGTGCCATGAATCTGACGGTGCCCCTCTTTCACGAGTTATTTTCTTCATCCCAAAAAACCCACTACGTCACTCCCTTCTTCTTCCGACTTCTTCCCCCTACCCATCGGCTGAAACCACCGAGTCCACCGGACCATGCCTCGTATGCCCGAGACAAGCGACATCGGCCTAGACCGGACATGAGCTATCGCTTGCTTGTACTCGATTAAATTGAATAAATTTATTGTCCATCGTGGCCGCACCCGGCATACCCATGCTGGGTGATCGATTGCTTGTCGCCAATGACCCTGAGGTCCTGATCGCACTTGCGTCACCAACACCACCAGCACATCATGCAGACCACATCTGATCTTACTCGTCTCTTACAAAACTACTACAATTTGCCGACGCGGCACAACCTTTAATAATATATGTAACACATGTTTCGGCATCCCGAATGCCCTATCCCAGGCAATGTTCCGTACTCCTCAACGCCAAAATGTTACAACCAACCGAATAAAAAAATCCTACATTCTCACCACATGGCGGCCGGGTCCATGTCGAACCGCGACAGGTCCTTGCCTGCATCTTCCAGATCCTTCTTTGCCTTCATTCTCATGTAGAAAATTGGACAATCCTTACTGCTACAGATGACCTCACAATGCATGCTGCCCTGGCATCGCTGACACTGCGTCCATAGTCGGCCGAATCGAATCTCGAGATCCGAAACCTTGTCTAGACTCCTCTTGTACAGTTCACCCACCCTGGGCGCGCAATCAGAGCATACTGCCCCATTGCTCTCGTGCTTGCCTGTAAGCGGCTTTTTGCAGCCCATGCATGTCTGTGTCTTTTTCGCAAATTTCATCAGCCCACCCACCGTTGGTGCTGCCACAGAAATTGTTCTCGTGTGATCTCCCGTCAGCAGGGTCCTCGCCTTGGTTTCGCCCAGGATAGGCTCGAATATACGTCCCAAGGGTTTAGCTAGCTGGTTATCCAGGTAGTATTTGGTATCAATGGGCACGTTGTTCTCGAGGACATATAGGGGATCCTCTGATTTCTCGAAGTTCTTGGCACCAGCAGCTCCACGAACCATGACATAAGCAACGCGGTCTCCAAGAGCAGGAGCCGAACCAGCATCACGCTTCTTCATTCGGTGAGCTAGTTCCACATGTGCTTGTTTGGCAGCGTAGTCGTCTTTTGTCAGAGCCTTGGTGATGACAAGCTTTGACATATCCACTTTGTTTTGTAATAGGTTAGCAATTGTTTCTTTGACATATCTAGTGAATTGTTAGCTGGTTCCAATAATACTTGCTAAGGAAGTACTAACTCCTGCGCACCACTAACATCCCGATCAATTAGAATCATTCGGAGGACCTTTTCGATGACAGTCTGCACTAACAGACAGTTGTCTCGTCGAACGGTCTCGATACCCTTCGTGTCCATCTTGTCGTACTTCTCTGGCCTCGTCCAGTACAGTCCAGCGTACCGCTTCTTGTTGATCAGCAGGTATGGAAAGTACACTTTCTCGAATTCAAGCTTGATTGGTTTAATAAACTTGGAAGACACATAGTGCGACGCTTCCTCGCCTAGCTTCATTGCCTCAGCCAAGTCCTTCGTGCCAAACTTGACCATGACGGAATCAGTGTCACCGTAAATGACTTGAGCGTCGTGTGTGTATCCGTTGGCAATATTATACTTCTTCTCCACTTCATCCTTTGTCCTTTCAATCATTTGTCGGCCGAAACTAGTCGTACTGCTGGCAATCTCAAGGCAGGGAAGTTTTCCTGTCGTAGCGCCTGTTAATCCATAGACGGAGTTGGCACTGATCTTTAACGCGAGCTGGCGACCGTTTAATACAGCTTTCTTGAACGGATCCGTTTCCTGGGCCAACTCGCGCTTGGCCTGTTTACGAGCGGTCAACAGTTCTTCAAGAATTTGCGCTAAAAGCCCCTTGCGTTGTTTGGTTGTTACGAAAGTGTCTCCGTTGGGTGTGACGATGTAATCTTCGTCTTTCACCAAGCCAAATTTTTCAATCAGCTTCTTGTCTTTTACCAGTGTGGTATAACATAGATTGTGTGCCTGAATAATACTTGGGTATAGCGACGCGAAATCCAGGGTAGCAATAGGCACGTCGTAATAACCTCGGACAGGCTCAATAACGGTGGCACCTTCGTACTGCTCGTCCGAAGCATCAGACCTGATATTGGGTATCACCAGCTTTTGTTCTAAAGCCTTGCGGAATAGCTGGCTCACAAACTTGATTTGTTGGCCGCGGGACAGTAAAAAGTTAAAGGGTACACCCGTGACTCTTGCCATTTCGGTATAGTTTTCCAGACATGAAAGCTTGTCCATTAATCGTTGCGGAAGATAGGCATCCTTTAAACAGTAGAGGGCTAAACGTCGTCTTGATTCCGGAGTACCGTTGAAAAGTTCAGTAATCATAGTGTGGTGCACATCTTCCTTTTGTTCGCCCAGAAAATGCGCGCACACAGAGTTAAGGGTATAACTTCGAAGATGGTGATCTCGTTGAATCAATTGAAGTAGATCGAGCTGCAGTCGCCCGTTGGTGTTGGTGGCCTTGGTGTCTCGATTACCAATTTGCTTACTCGAGAAATTTGTCTCCTTGACCCTAGACGGAACGCTAGGAAGGCGAGACCAGTATTCAAAGCCACTGACTTTTAGATGCTTTGCTCTCTCCAATAAGTAAGGAAAATCGAAGTTGGCAATATTGTATCCAATAATAATGTCTGGATCGGCTCGGATTAGGAACTGCTGCCATTCGCTCAACATCTTGTCTTCCTTCTTATACTCTAGAATCTGCGTAGCTACAATAGAGCTTGTTGTATCCAGGCAAAAGACATTACGAATAAATGGCTTTTTCTCTCCGTACTTTGTGACGACATTGGCGATTTGAATAACTGGGTCTTGATTGGCTTCTGGGAAGATACCTTTTCTGCCAGCGCACTCGATGTCGAAAGATAAGATACGAAGTGGAGCCATCTTGGCCCATTTGCCTTCAGGTTTATGAGCAATCAAGTCGAGATATGGGACTTCGGCTTCGATCTGGCAGTTGGATTGTCTGAGGTTTTCGGGGACTATCTTGTATCTGGTTGCTGGCGCTTCGACCCATGCCATGCCTTGGACCTAATGGCACTTGATTAGTTGTGCGTAAAAATTGCCGATATTTGCGTCAAATCTCACCTTGCAGTCCACCATGAATCTAAGGACATATTGGATATTGTCATATGTCCTGATGCCCTCTGTGACACCCCACATGCCTTTCCAGTTCGCATTTCCACCTTCTATAGTAGAGCGCACTCTATTTATAAATTTGGGGTCCGTGACTGTAATTTTGAGGTAAGCGTGCTGCTCGTTGCCCCAGAAGCCATAAATGTCTTCTCTGAAAAGCAGGGCGACCGAATGAATAGCGGGCTGATGCTGAGCAACCTGTGTCTCGAGGAAAGCCTTGTAATTACCGACATCGTGGGGTTGAAATAGAACCGGAGCACGGAGATAGAGGTAATGCTTAAAGTCGGTGACGTGCAGCATCACTGAGTAGCCTTCCTCTGAGACGCCGAATAACTTGACAGTTGCCTTGCCACCATGCAAGGTTCCTTCTTCGGCTTCAATAGACTGGAAACACAGGCTATCGCGCTGGGGCTCAAAGTCAGTAACTGGCGGGCGGTCCCATGCCTGGTCCTTCTCGGCATTGCTGCGCTTCAGGTCTGAGATATCTTGGCTCAGCTTCTCCAAGACCTCGGTCTCAAAGGCACTTTTTGGCTGACTCGACCCAAGCTTTGCTTTGGGATCTCTTTGGGATCCTGTGAATCTGGCCGCCGGTGATGACGAAAAGATATCGGTCCTACGCTTCTTGGCTGAGCCTGGCGTTGATGGCGGAATGTTCTGGCGGGTGCCTGCCTCGCCCAGCACCCGCTTCTGGGGCAGGACTGAGGTCATGATGAATGCAAGGGATGCCGTGAATGAGATGTAGCCAGATTACTTGAGCCTTCAGAGTAATGCCCTGGTAAGTTCTCTGACTGCACAGTCAGTCAATGGCAAAGTCGCATGCGGTTGGATTGCTGGAGAAGTATCCGTAGTATGGGTGCATTTTGATTGTCGACGAAAACGCGTCTCGAGACCGTGACGTGACGGACCCACGTCGAGTTTAATGGATTGGCACGTGACGTGGTGCGTCGTGAATGTGCCGCCGTGTCGGGGAAGCGCCAAGGAGGAAGTAGCCCCGTTGTCTCCCTGCTAGCTCCGCCATGTACCGAGTACGAGTTAGCGTGGTCAAGGTGACAGACAACACCAAGTACCGTACACATGGCCTAAGTCCTTCCCTGTCTGCCGTGGCAGCTCCTGCTCATCCCCGTCTGTCACCTGTCCACTATCAGCCAACACGGATCCCTTTGAATGTGCGAAGGTGCAGCTTTTGTAGCGGACCGGGGTATGGGCCAATAAGAAGCCAATTATTAAAAGGTACCTAACCACACTAAGAAATTATATGATGATAGAAGTACTAGTAATGCTGTGAGTTACAAAGAGCTACATCGCACATATTACAGCCGAACCTAGCGTATGGGGCCTTTTTGACGCTAAAAAGGTACCCGTTAGGTATCGCAGAAAAAATGGGGCCGATACCTGACTTGCACCTTAGCACAGCCAAAGGGATGGCCAAGCATCCAAGACCTTGCTCAGAACCCATGTCACGGATGCACAGGCTCGACAAGAGACAACAACGTTGGACGTGGTGCGCGCCAATCATGTCGGCCGGAGTCCCCTCGGAGTTTTGGAAGCGTTGTCAAATTCTTCATTCCCGATAATTGTCGCTCTCCCAGGCCTCCTCAACTCACAAAGCCAGCTCCGTCCGCATTCATGCCGCCCGCGCCCATGATCAGCTTTCAACCCCATTTGCTGCTCCTGGCCAACGACGAGTCACAAACTCAGCCCGATGCCCCATATTCTCATGCCAATAAATTGACTCGGGCTCGATAAAACGCGCCCCAGACTGCGGACTCTTGTGAGTGCGAGGCTCCTCTTCGTAAACGTATAACCATGTTGTGTTCCCCGTCCGATGCTGCCTGACCTCACCATGTAATGTGATTCTGGTCTCGCCGAGACATGTCCTCTGAGGAAGCTGTCAACAATGAGATGGATCCTCAGACACAAAGCAGCCTTTTCCTCTTGCCCGTCGAGATACGTCGGCACACGTATTCTTTCATCGTCGAGGAGGGTGTTCACGTGTACCTTCGTAATGACCGCATTTGCATCTCGACATGCATAACTCCGCAGCCCAGCAACGACTACTTCTGCTTCGACCGCCAGTCATCGGGAGACCCTCCCCGTGATGTTTGGGCCCGTCGACTGGGTTCATCTTGGGCCTCACATTGGAGATGCGAGGAAGTTGCCCTTGGTTTGGACGTGGACCGGATTAATATTGCTACTGACCGCGATCCGACAAGGGCATTGATGCAGTCTTGCAAGAGAATGTAAATGATGCTGCAAGAGGACGGTCGTGCTGTTGGTCATCCACTGATCGATTTACAGATATGGCGAAGTTGCAGGCGTCATAGTTGAAAAGTCTGTTTTACACATCACCGAACTCGCTACCCTTGACCAGCTTTTGAAAGGAGACGACGACAAAACATGTTTGTTTACCGACAGTATACTGTTAAGCGCATTTACTGGCGTGAGAAGACTTCGTCTCGCCTTCCGCCTTCCGCTGCAAGTCTACAAGATGATTGAGCTGCAATGCAAGCAGCGAGAATTCCCGACTTGCCTACACAACAAGCTACCTTCCACCATATGGAAGAACATATGGCCAGCAATTGCTAAACTCCAGCACCTACGTTCAATGGAAGTCTACGTCGACCATGACTCTGAAGCATCCTGGACATTAGTCGATGAAGCCACCATACTCTCGCCTTTGCTCTCGCTCTGCCAGCATTCCCACTTTAGCACCATCATTCACATCCCGGCAGTACCGCTGCCACAGGACACGGAAGAGGACTTCGAATCCTCGACAGAGGGCCCACTATCTATGCTGGACATCAGAAGGTTCATAAGACAAAGATTTTTCCCTGAGCAAAGACAAGATGGTACCCATGGCATAGTCTACGAAGACGACGCCAACAACATGTTTCGCGACCCAGGCCCATCTGCCGACGAGCTGACTCGGACTGCTGAAATGACGATGCACCTCTGGCTGCATGGTGTTGAGCTTGACTATCTTGCCATGAGTAGGAGGCTTGGGTGGTAAGTGCTGACTGCCTTGGTAGTTATTCACATTTCGATGCTATGAGACAAGACTGCATTACTGGAGTTTTTCTTAGTTTTGGGAATCATTCCCGGGTACCTGATGGGAGGAGTTCTAATAAGGAGTAGAATGCAGAAAATACAGTACCCTCAACTCACATGAGGGATCCTCCACGTACGCCCACTGCTCCTATCCTAAGCCTTCTGTCAAGCCTGCTTGCTTCTCCTTGCTGTTCTCACCCCCCGCCCTCGGTACAGACCCGTCATACAACCTCTTAAACTGCGAGTCCCTCTTCAAAAGCCTCTTGGGCTCGTCATACTACAAGCCTACCCTATACAGGCCAGCACTCACTGCAACTTGTGCGCCATGACGATAATCGTCCATCCCTCAAACCACGTCCGCAGAACATCATATATGATCTCCTTTATTGCATTGTCCAAACGACCTAAAAACGTCAGTGCTGTCCGTCGCTTTAAAAAAAACCCACTAGACAAAGACGACCATCTCTGCTCGAAAACTATCCTTACCCGTCACAATATTGTCCTCTCAGACACAAAAAGCTGCGTCTCCTCCTGAGACAGAAACTTGCTGTGCATGGCGTTGTCCAACCCGCCCCTTGACTCAATCCTTTCCCGTAGCTGGACTATCTCTAGGGTCACGGCAATTTCTGCATCCATTATCGTGGCCGCGGGGGCGACGTTGATGCACACTGTGCCGACGAAATGTATGGTTCTTGGGGTAGGGTCACAATACGCGCGTGTATAGCCTTTTTAGGGAGTATAGATGTATCGATTCCATCAATGGCGATGGTTCCACTGTCCTGGGTAATCATCCGGATGAGTGACAGGATAAGTGAACTCTTACCGCTTCCATTTTGTTAGAGTTTGCTGGAGGATGGGTGGAGGTGTGTCTAAAGACTTGGCTTCCTGTTCGGCCGCAGATGGCGACTCTCTGATTCCTACTACGCTCATCGAGATGCTATGAAGAACAGGGCTGGAAGGTCTGTGTACCTACATGTGAATACCGGTCCTCTGCCGAGACAAACAGGCACCTACAAGTATGGAGCAGTTACTCTCTGAGACTCTATGGCGGCGCTAGACGGCCAATCCTCAGGCAAGCCAATGCCATCGTCGCCAGTCTCGTCTCCAGGCCTCGTATCCGCAATAAAGTCAATCTCCAACATCACCCGCGACGTAACGGTTGTGCTGAGTGTGCGGCTGAACGCGAGGATATTGCTCAGCGCGATACCCATATTCCCTGGTCCAATCTGCTCACACAATATACTAGTCAATGCAATGACAATGACGGCAAGTACAGCGATGATATGGATATCATGACGAATTCGGCGACACCAAGCGATACGCCTTGGACAAGGAGCACGTGAGGTAGAGTATATGTGGGATTGGGCTGTTCACATACCGACCGCAACGCCGAGAGCTGTTCCTGCAAGTTCCATGTCAGTCAACAGAAGGTCTTGGCTGAACCTGTTGACGGTGTTGTGAAATGGCACGGGGGCTCTTTTGTCTTTTCCATCAGCTACGATGCCCTCTCACTCTGACGTTGTCTAAAGCATGGCATCGTGAAGATATGCCCCGGACCTATTGATGATAACAACGAACAGCTGCCCGCAAAACTATACAGTTCTCTTCAATCTCCTTCTACGGATTGTTTGATGGCGCCGGTCTTGGAGAGGATATTGACCTGGTCGGCGCATAAACACGGCGGACTACAAGATTAGAAGGGTGTTGAGACATGACGCCGAGGTTTATTGGAAGGTCGGCGGCTTGCTCTCAGGGGAACAAACGACGATAGATAAGTTGCTTTTTCGGAGAAGTCCTTTTTTCCCAAGGAGGTTGTGGAACACGATGTCTCCTGTAGCCGCATCGACGGACGAGCTCTCGACCAGACGCGAGTAGGCCGCACGCGCAGTTGCCTGCAAACGTCAACATTTCCCAACTATTAACTATGTCTCATAAGGGGTCCTTACCAAACGGTGCTTTTGACCACCACTCACGGAATTCCCTTTGCTCTGTTCTCTGACCAGAGTTTCTCCAGACGGCCATGCCCGCACATTTATATCCAGAGCGCACGTCTTGAGAACACGATTCGTTCAACGCCACTGGACCAGCAATTATGCTGATTCATGGTTCTGAATCCCGAGTCCACGTCAACTTACCGTTGACCGATGCAATAATCTCCGGATCAAGAGGAACCACTATCAGCTTTGCGGACTCGACATCTTCGGAAACACGAGGCATGCTACCATTGCTCTCCGGTACCTGGCCAAGGCTCCCCTCACGCTGCGGTACTCTATTGTCCTCTTCCCTCTTGACGTTCAGAAATGTCTGGATTCTCCCAGACGGCGTAAATGAGCTCGCCAGCGTAGGGAGCGCAATAATAATCGACGTAAGCGGCGTCATGTCCAGCGTAAACAGCGAATAGTCCCTAAACAACTTTTCAAACGTCAAGCATGTCGTGTGCCCTTTTGAAGCGTCGATGCCGTACACCACAAACGCAAGTACCAAGAGAGGAACGCAGATGACTGTCTATCAATGAACCAGCAGTTCCCGACTTCCACCGCAGCTACCGGACCCTGGAACCAGCTCACATGGCATCAGAGGCCCGCCCATGGGCATACGAAATCTCTTGGGCGGCCTCAACTCGTGTTCTCGTAACTTGCAAACAATACCAAAGGACGCGTTGTTGAGGCCAAATATTTTCGGTCACTCTATCAAGTTTTGGGTTTTTTTTTTATTTATTATTTTTTTTTACCTATGTAAATGATGGTGCACTACATCAACAGGCAACACAGTGCCCAAGCCAGAGAACCATCATGGACCACGTAACACACCATGAACACATCGCGATATATCAGATACTAGCAAGATTGGTGTTATCCAACGCTATCTCGCGACAGCCCTGGCTACTGACTACGTGGAAGTAAAACATATTTTATGCCAGCGACTCAGTCCAAAGCTCAAAATGGCCGTATAATACATACTGGCAAGGTCCGCGCTTATTAGCCCTCCACGAGTCCTCCCCCTTCTCTCTCCCATCATCACCTCCCCCGCAGAGAGGCCCTACTGTAGTTGCGTTGGCTCGCCGACGTCAACCTACAGTTGCAGCAGGGCCCTTGATGCCGGAAGATGCGAGGGAGGCGGTCGTCACACGGTCCTGGGACGCCTGTGCCCTGCCAATGAAGCCCATGAGCACCACCAACACGCTCACAACCGGTAACCGGCGGTCCAGCATACAAACCAAGTACAGGCACAGCCTCTGGCAACTTGGTAAACGAAGCCGTCACCCAACCACAACGTCAACAACCGTCCCCCGACACTCGTAAAGACTGACGCACGGAATGCACCGTCTCCGTAGCCGTGCTCATGGGCGCAGGGCCTTTTGGCCAACCACCCCGGCGAAAACTACCTCGCATCAAGGCGGACGTGCGGCAGACGAGCCACTCATTGAATGGATCAATGTACATTATTGCCATGAGCCACTTCTTGTAATTCGACATAAAGATAAATATAAAGCCGAGGCCACGACAGGAATCCCCCACCCAAAAACCAAAGGAGTCTACGAGCACAGCCAAAACATACCCTTCACGATATAAATTCCCCAAGTAATCGGTACTCCAAAACGACAAAGCACGTAAACTCCAACCGACATGCCCCCGGGAATCGAGTCCCGCCAGCAAGAGAATACCCACCCCTCAAACCAACTCGCCTCCCGCAACCCCATGGCGGGAACACTACACACGCATCGCATTCTAATACACAGCGCCGCAAGGCAGCACATGAACAGCGCTGGAAACCATGTTTTCATAGCCGGGATTCATCAGACAAGACAAGAGGGCTCCGCAGCAGCAAATCATGCACGGCAAATTCCCAAGCCGTGGCCCCCGAGATGGCCAGCCTAAATGTCAACATGCGCCGAATGCAGTCGACAGGGGAATCGTACGTTGACACGGCAGAATATGCAAAAGACGGAACTCGCCACAAGGCCGTGATGCCGGGACAAATGACGCCCTCGGCTCACAGGAATGAAGGACGGGTGGACGACAAAAGTTGAACTTCTGTACCTACAAGCCCACGATGCAAGTCGGCGTGGACCAGGCCTACATGTACCTACTAGGGGCGCAACCAAACGACGCGGCAAGACATACCATGCCCGTCAATCTCACTAGAATACACGTCAAAATTTAGTCGTTAATAAAATATCATTATATATGCAGAACCTAATGCTACACCAATCTCTCCTCCCTCGCATGAGTGCTTGCACCTTCATCAATCGGACCAAAACAACCTCAAACGCCGTCGCTGTGAGGAAAAGAAACTCAGTCTAACCTTGTCCAAACAAGATACCAGACTATCAGAAAAAGTGGCGGTTGGCACATGCAGAAAAGTATATCCCGTGTTCGTTGCAGACATGAAGATGCTTTAACTTAGGCGGTTGTCTTTTGAATCGTTCCAATGTCGCACCAGTTGCTAACGGGCTGAAAAAGGGAAGAAAAAAAAAAAGTTAGCCTGACATCGTTTGGGAATGGGAAGACGGTGCAAAAACTTACAAGACAACTGAGGTACTTGCACCAACTACAGCTATGGCTACCGTTGTAAAAGTTGTTGAGCAACACAATAAACACAATGATGACGGCAATGAGGAAGCCCGCCCGGACAAGCCACCAAGCCCACCACAGGGGTTTTCGGCCCTTGAAGAAACCAATTGGGCTCTTTAGGAAGCCGGGCGCGGTGTCGTCGCCGCTCGTGTTGACGGCCGAGTACGACGTGCTATCGCTGCCGTCAATCTTTCTGCGGAGCGCGTTGGGCGAGTGCAAAAGACAAACGCCTAGCGCGAGGCCCATCAGGAACCCGCCAATGTGCGAAAAATTATCCAATCCGGGCAAGAGTCCCAACACAAAGGAAATGACAATGTCTAGAATTATAAACATCAAATCCTTGACAGGGTTTCTTCGCTCCGTCCAAGAATAAAACAGATCCAGCAGG